GCGCTCGAGAAAGACGACTTCTCGAACATACACACCCACAAGCATTTACAGTCAGCCACCACATTTCATCCTATTCTTCTCGAAGTCATTAAATCTCACACCAAGCCGTCAAGATGCATACTTCCGTCGTCTCAGCACTCCTCTTTGCTGCGTGCGCCTTTTCCCTTCCCGCAGAGCAAAAGAAGAGCGTTGTCGCTCGCACAGCTCCAGCCACTCAGCTGCTAATCACGGGGGTAAGTAATGTTCTCACTTACCAACAAGGAACTGATACTGATTCAAGAATCAATAGTGGAATGTCACCGACCTGACCTGCAATCTGGACAACATTCATGCCCTGGGATTCATGGGTCCCAACGAGGACACCTGGGGCAACGGAGGTAGCTACACCTCCTACTCCTTGAGTCGCGCTTTAGCCGCCAACGAGACACTCAATCTGTTCGCCTCAGCTGGTGGTAACAACTGTGGCACATTCTTGTACTCTGTCCCTGCCGGTACGGCAAATGGCTGTTATGAGCTTGGCGTCAACCAGGAATTCTCTTGTATGCAGATGGGTACCCCAGCATAAGTGCCTGGCACACGCGGTGGAGATTGTAATGGCAGTTGTAAGTAGAGCGGGAGCGGGAGCGACTTCGTCTTTTTGGTTTGTTTCATCTGCTTTTTAGCCGGCAGTCGAAGGGGGACGCTCCTTGGCCATACACGCTTTGTTTTTCGTGGCGCTTTTTTTGATTTATGCTAGTAATGATGTCCGACAAACTCAAGAGCAGCAAAAGTGATGAAAGCGTGTCAAACCAGGACGTATAAACCAAATCTCCATCTTAACCAACCTACCCCAACACTACTCCCTTCATCCACTATCTATCGTCAGCTCTGTAGGCACCATCCCAGCTGTCGCTGCTAGGGCATACAGCTAGGGCTACTAAATTCATCACTGTACTTGCCGGTCGCGTGAGTTGACAGATCTGGGATACCGAGGTAGATAGCCATTGCGATCGCTTTCGAGAGATTGGCAAGAATACTCCAAGTTAGCATCGGTAAGTCTGAGCTTACCAAGAGGATCTTGACATACGATGCTCGGATTTGCGTTCCCATCGTAACTCATCTTGCTCACCTTTCAGGCCCACCTGCATCACCCTCGACTTGTCAAAAAGGATGATATGTGAACAACGGTGATGTGAAAGGATAATTGATCTATCTCTAAATTCTTCTGGGGGATATCTTTTACCCTATAGAAATAGAGTGATATAGCCGACATGCGCATAGGTCATAGCGGAGAGTGGCTGGGAACATGGCTGGGAACTCCACATTTCGACACGACTCACCTTTTGAAGGGTGATTATCAGGGCGGCGAGAGGCACTTTCCTCGATGCAGGTATGCCCGCAGGGGGAAACGGCGACCCAGACAAATCTCCCATACAAATTTCTCTCATACAAATCTCCCACCAAAATCTCCCATGCAAATCTCCCACCTATTTCTCCCATACAAATCTCCCATACAAATCTCCCACCTATTTCTCCCATACAAATCTCCCACCTATTTCTCCCACCTATTTCTCCCATACAAATCTCCCACCTATTTCTCCCACCTATTTCTCCCATACAAATCTCCCACCTATTTCTCCCATACAAATCTCCCACCTATTTCTCCCATATAAATCTCCCACCTATTTCTCTCATACAAATCTCCCATACAAATCTCCCACCAAAATCTCCCATATAAATCTCCCATACAAATCTCCCATACAAATTTCTCTCATACAAATCTCCCACCAAAACCTCTCATACAAATCTCCCACCAAAATCTCCCATACAAATTTCTCCCATACAATTCTCCCATACAAATCTCCCACCTATTTCTCCCATACAAATCTCTCACCTATTTCTCCCATACAAATCTCCCATACAAATTTCTCTCATACAAATCTCCCACCAAAACCTCTCATACAAATCTCCCACCAAAACCTCTCATATAAATCTCCCACCAAAATCTCCCATACAAATTTCTCCTATACAAATCTCTCACCAAAACCTCCCATACAAATCTCCCATACAAATTTCTCTCATACAAATCTCCCACCTATTTCTCCCATACAAATCTCCCACCAAAATCTCCCATACAAATTTCTCCCATACAATTCTCCCATACAAATCTCCCACCTATTTCTCCCATACAAATCTCTCACCTATTTCTCCCATACAAATCTCCCATACAAATTTCTCTCATACAAATCTCCCACCAAAACCTCCCATACAAATCTCCCACCAAAATCTCCCATACAAATTTCTCCTATACAAATCTCTCACCAAAACCTCCCATACAAATCTCCCACCAAAATCTCCCATACAAATTTCTCCCATACAAATCTCCCACCTATTTCTCCCACCAGAATCTCCCACCAGAATCTCCCACCAATTTCTCCCATACAAAATCTCCCATACAAATCTCCCATACGAAACTCCCACCAATTTCTCCCACCCATTTCGCCTATACAAATCTCGCATGTGTTCTACGCCTTGGCTAGGACCAACCGAAGAGGAACGTTATCTCTTCATCGGAGCAAGTTCGGGGCAGAAGGTTTATTATTCCGAGAAGACTGTATTAACGAGAGTAGCAGCAAGCGTTGATGTAGCGACAGCGGCGCCAAAAGCGTGCAATTGCTTACCTATCTGCTAGAGTTTATGCGATACGGCGAGCGACAATCCCATGCATTCACCAGCGACCCAGTCGACCTAATGAGGCTTCTCCACGTCGGTCAGCTATCTCTACGCACTCTGAAGACTCCAGCGACCCGATGGCACTCATGCAAAGTGGCGAAGGTGGTCGCCTGGGAGCACCTGCAAACGGACGACTTACCGCGAGTGTAATCCACACCACATCCATTTCCAATGATCAGCTTTGGCGTCCGTCACGGCTTGCTAAAGGCTGCTGGGCCTATATCCCGCGCCCGGGTGGAGGAGGAAGCGGCGCCGCGGAGGGCGGCTTTCTTCTTCAGTTTCTGCGACGCGGCGACGCGCACCACTGGTCTTTCTCCATCCTCACTTGCTACTTGATGAGGCGCGGGCGAGGGAAGAGACGGGGGAGGTGGGGAGGGAGTGGTGGGGTTTGCAATGTTGATGCTTTTTTGGCCATGTGTATGGATGTTGATTTGGGCATGTCTGGGGTCGGAGCCGAGCGTTGGGGATATCCAACGACTTTCTTCCTCTCCCTTCGTTGTTTCAGACGAGTTTTAGATGATGTCTTGAACGTGGAATACTATACTTTGACCAACGGATCTATTCATAAAGAAATGCGAAAGAACGTATTTTCGATTCGAGTAAAATAATGCCTTCAGAACTATAAACCTGCTTGATCGGTTCCCGCATATAATTATCAAGCAGTAATTAGTATCATCACTGACACCATCTCCTCCGAGCTCTCCCAACAGCTAATCGCCACTCCAGAGAATTCCAAAGGACCCGATCCCACAGTCTCGAAACCCTCAGCGAAGAACCCCCCTTCGAGCCCCAATCCCACACATCGACAAACAACCCCATCAACCACCCCCCACAAACCCCCCACACCCAACGCAAACCCAGCCTCCTCCCTCACCATCTCCCTCACTCCATCCAACAGCATCCGCAACAGCATCCCCAAGTACGTCGCAACCCCCCCTTCGCGCACTGAACCTCGTCAAAAGCTCACGAGACCTGACTGCTAGGCCCTGGCTTGGCATCTCTCGACGATGATGATCGTTTCATGAGATTGCTAGCGTTTACCTACGCCACCTGCCTGCGATTCCCCCCAACTCCATCTGGACGCAACGACGCTTCCACAGTACGACAACTTGCAGCACCCGCGCGTCGGGGCGTTGGTGATCGGAAGTGGATGTGGAATGAATCGATAGATAGATAGATGGATAGGTCGCTCCACCGTGACGGGGCGTGAGCGCATGGTGGGTTTTGGGTCCGGGCGGACTTGCCGGATTGCGGAGGAGGCGGTGGTGGGGTGGGGTGGGGATAAGGACTTTGAAGTGGAGGAGGCGGTGGATGAGGGGGGGGTTCGGTGCGGATGCTGGTGAGGGCGGCTTCGAGGGTTGGGTGTTTGGGCGGGCGGTTGGGTTGGAGTTTACATATGATGACGACTGTTTTGGGGGGTCCTGTCGATGGGGCTCGCTGGGATTGCGGAGGCGGTGGGGGGTGGGTTGGGGATGAGGGGTTGAGGGATGAGTGGAGCGTGGGTTTGGGTTTGGGAAGGGGTTGACGGAGTAGATGCTGCGGGTGGCTGCTGCTCTGGAGGATTGGGGTGGGATGTTTGCGCGATGAGGTTTGGTTTTGCGGTTGGGTTGGTTTTGATGTTGATGATGGCGACGGCGGTGTTGTTGTAGGAAGTTCTACGTACCGTTGGGGCTGGGGCGAAGGGTGGCGAGATTTGCGTTTGAGCTTATGATGGGGGCATTGGATGGGGTGGTGTTGGTGGTGATGAGAGGTTTGTTGAGAGGAGGATTGATTGCTAGGGTTGGATATTTGTTGGATATGCGAGAAGGCTGGAGCTGTTTATGAAGGCTTGTCTGCTTGAAGTCATCTGCAATGTGTGTGCTTCTTTCAGGGAAATGGAGTCTCATCTGAACGAACTGAGCATGCTATTTTTCAGTATTCTTCATTGCGACGGCACTGTCTGTTGCCTTTTGACGTCTTGCTAGACATCGTTTCTTGGCTCACTTTGGTAAGGTTGTTGTGGAGTAAGGTACATGCTCTTTCAGCTGCTGAAAATCCAGGCGCAAGAGGTTATTGCTAGTCAATGAACGGCAGAGACGTAGTTTGAAGCTTTGGTGCGTGCTCATGGTTATATTCAAGCGGCTGAAGAAAAGAAGGAGGAGACTCTCAAGACATGTTTAGATAGTCTGCACAGCGGCATTTCTTCCTACCACGGGAGATGGCATTACTTCAACATCAATTCTGGAATCCTGTGTCAGTCTTTCGAAAACAGAGATCGAGAAGCGCTTTGGCAATCCGGTCTTCACGAGATGTCTAATTCAAGGATCTTGTACACGCCTACCAAATCGGGATTGCCAAATTCTGAAGGCTTAGAAAGAGGTGCTGGGAACGTTGAAAAAGCCGTCCCTATTGTGCGGAGATTAGAGAATGTGGCCAGTTTGGACCTTCAATCTGCGAATCCAGCCAAGTCCAACACTATCATAACTATGAACAATTCATCGGAAGATCTTGAAAGGTTCCTCATGCTCCATGGGACGATGCCAGTTGAAAGTGACCCTGACGTCCGCGTCCTCATCCGAGGCGTTCTTGTCGGTACTTACGATGCGGTAAGGAGGCGATAGACGGTACTGCACTCCCTTTTTGAAACCCTCTAATTATCACCGCATCAGTATTTGTCCCTGAAGGCTTGCATTAAGGGATAGAATTCTTGACGTTGCTTGCATGTCGACATGACGGAAAGAGACCAAACTCACGAGTCAAAAGCTTCACAAATTCGAAGATCGAAGCGGCCCAGACGGTGATTGCAACTATCTGGCCAAACGTCCAAGATTTATTATGCTACTATCGTTGGGGTAGGATAGCTTTTCCAGGAAGAGGCCAAAAAAAAACAAGAACCAGATGAAGTACATCGTTTCGGATACCGTGTTCGTAAAGCTTCGTGCGTCGGTCACGCCAATGAGACAAAAGCGCGTGCAAAACTAAAGCAGCGTCGATTGTCCTTGGCCGGTCGGAGGGCACTCTCTAGCTGCTTTAGGTTCCCTCTTATAAAACGTTGAACGATTTGAGCCTCCTGCACCCCACAGTGATCGAATATTAGAATTGCGAGAACAAAAAGTCTAAAGCGCGCTATGCCTCCGATGCTTCTTTGTGCTATACTCAAAGAGGTGATATCTTGATACGGTTGCAAACAAAATACAGAAGGGTCTCTGTCTCCGTAGTGCGAGTAAAGGTTGTTTGTGGCGGTCTGCAGCTGGTGACAATCAGCCGGCGAGGGGCTGAAACTGCCAGTGTGGTAGAAAGTAGCGACTGACAAGGTGGCAGTGTCGGTCGAGAGGATCAGCAGATACCATGAATGCATCCCACCCGTGTGCAGGCTCAATAAGGTGAATGTGACGGGAAGTAGGCTGCTAACAGAAATGAGTCCGATGAGGCTGTAGTTGCTGTACAGGCCTTGAAAGGAGGTCGTGCCTTGGTTCAAGGTACCCTGATTGACCGAGACCTGGGCTGCAATGTCAGTCGCGAGCATGAAGAAGCATTGAGCCTTCTGAAATTTGACTGTTGCGGACTCGATAGTAGGCAGGTAATCTTGCAAACGTGTCTGCACATCCTGAGCTCGAGACTTGGTTTTGGCCCAAGCAGAGGGCCATATTAGACACAGCGGCCGGAGCAGTAGGAGACATGTTTGATAGAAGTGAGTGTGACCTAGTTTCAGCAGCACGAAAGATCCGAGCGCGATACCGCTTTGCAGACAGTATGAGATGTAGACCTGGTCCAACTTCAATAAGCGTTTCGATTATGAGGACTCGATAACGGAAGATGACTTACCCCAATACCACCGACGTCTCAGTTTAGTAGGGCGGGTACGCTGGCAGAGCAGATAGAGCTGAAGCAAGAGGCGTGGGTAGACTCTACGACTCCTCGAACATATGTCCATGGACAGGCGTTATAACCGCACCCAGCATTTAAGTCGCAGAACTGATTCAGACAGCTAGAGATGCTGCCGTATACATTGTCGGCCAGATCTTGGAAATTTTTATCATTTACATCGATGTGGAAAGCCTCCAACTGGTCGGCAGAGTTTTCATCCTTATGACCAATTGTCGGTAACTCAACACTCGCTTATCACTAGTACTCATTCGGCCTAGTTATTGATATATGAAGGCCGTTCCTGTACATAGGATTCTTCTTCCTTAGACATCATTAAGACTACTATATCTAATGATAGGTCTTATTATAGCAGTAACTGTATATCTAGATATTTATTAATACTAATTAGTATACTTTAATACTAGTATATAGATTAGTAAGGCTATACTCTTAAAGAAAGTCTATTCCGATATCGCCGCGGTACTTTACACGGTTCTATATTACTTAATCGATTTCGCTTATTATAACGATTCGATTAAATAGAATTATAATCTCTATAATTTCTACGACTTTTATTTAGTAGAGAAAATACCTAGAAAATATCAAATACTATTAAGCTTTATATTATATTAATATATAATATACACTTAAAATAAACTTTAAGAATAAGAAATCTAATTCTTTAGAGATATCGCTTAATACTATAACTCTATAATAACTAAAGAATATACTATCTAAAGAAGTTAATCTAATAGATATCGATAAGAGAATTAAATAATTCGTTTATTGAAGAATATAAGACTATAATAAAAAAAAATCATCTGCAAATTTGAAAAGTTTCTATAAAATTTGAAATTACTAATCGCGCGTTAATCGCGGAAATTATAAAATTCGTCGAATTAGTAAATCTAATTAAAATTCGTCTAAATTCCGCCTAATTAGTAATTATAGTCTACTTTTTATACGCTATTCGCCGATTTAGTAATTACTATTTACTATTAAAATACTATTCGCTAATTTAATAATTACTATATATTATTCGAATAATATCTATTAATTTAGTAATTACTATATATTATTCGAATAATATCTATTAGTTTAGTAATTACTATATATTATTTAAATAATTTTTTTAGAAATAATAATCGCCTTATATTAATATTTTATTATTTCTATAATTCGCGATATCGACTCGACTTTATAAGTTAAATTTAACTTAACTTAATTATATTATAAATTCAATTTAACTTAACTTAATAATACTATTACTAGATATTAAGTCTATATATATAAATTTATATTACTATATTAAGTAATCTATCTTTTTTATTAAAGATAAGAATATTATTATTTATAATATATCTTATAAATACTAATTATCTAAAAAAGAAAATCGTTATTAATACGCTCTCTTATCGCTATAATCGCGTTAAAGTTAATATAATATATATAAAGATTAATAATATATATTTATATCTCTATTATTTAATCTTAACTCTATTAACCTCTTCTCTTAATATCTAAATCTCTTTAAGATTTATATATATTAATACTTATTAAAATATTAGATATGTTTCTTATAAAATCGAAACCGGCTTTCTTAAGTTAGAAGTTTCGGCTTTTAAATAATTATATATATAAGAATATAGCGAGTAATAGTATATATAAATCTCCCTTTATAATATCTTATATTAAGGCTTTCTTCTAATTTATTATATTTTTAAAATAATATATCTCGATTCTAATATTATTATATAGATTATTAATAACTCTTACTATTTTATATCTTCTATAATAGCTTATATTAAAGCTTTCTTCTAATTTATTATATTTTTAAAATAATATATCTTGATTCTAGTATTATTATATAGACTATTAATAACTTAAGAGAATTTTAAATAATAGCCCTTATTATAAATAATAGCATTTTTTAAATTATAAGAAGTCGTAAATTAGTTTAATAGTAGTCTTCGACGTTAAAATACTTAACTAGGTGCTTTTTAAAGCGTATTAATATCTCTCTAATTAAAAAAGAGCTCGCTCTCTCTTCTCTTTCTAATTATAATATCTATGTATATATTCTATAATTATAAAACTTCTCTTCGCTTAACGAACTCTAAAGATAATTTAAAAGTTATTTAAATTAAGAAGAATATTTAAGTTAAGAAGAATATTCGAGTTAAAAAAAATATTCGAATTAAGAAGAATAATTAAAATCGATTTTATCTATTATATATTTAATTCTATTTCTAATATTCTAAGATCTAGATTCTCGATATCTCTATTATCTTATAATATAGTATATATTAATCTCCTTTACTACTCTATAACTTTTATTTAGAAAATTCGAATTATAAATATTATTATATTAATTAAAATTAATAAAGCTATTAATATAATAAAATTTCTTATCTTTTATTAACGCGAGTATAATATATATATTTCTCTTAATACTTATAAGGCTATAGAATTATTATTTTTTAAGAATTCTTAAATTTCGCGCTATTAATAATTACGCTCTTTCTACTTTTATTATATTATAATATTTCTAAACTTATTCATTATATTAATACTTAAATATCTCTATAAAAATACTTTATAGATAAATCGATTTTTATCTAAAATCTCTGCGAGCTAGGTTTATTACTTTTATTATAATTAATACTTTCTCTATTAATTTTCTCGAAAAAACTCTATTAGCATCGAAGGTCTATTAATTATATTCATGAATCTAAGCGTAATTTCTACGCTATCTTTTTTAAAAGAATTAATTAATAGATCTATAGACGACGACGTCTTTGAATAAACGAGCTATATCTAGAGAATCCTTCTCGAGAGCCTTTTAATATCGAATATTAAAATAAATATAAATCGAATATTAATATATTTATTTATAGTTTATCTTATATATATTAATATTATTATCTCTTTTAGATAGATAATATTCTCTTAATTTTATTTAATCTATTCGAATAAAGGCGGCTAGAGCTTCGAGAAAAGTATTTAACTTTAATTATTTAATAACGATCTCTACTAATTACTAATAACGACTATTATAATAATAGATCTATCTTATAATATTACGCTTTTTATTATTCGTCTATTAACCTTAGATATAAAGATCTAAAGAAGTTCTTATCTCGATCTTCTTTTTTTTTCTATAATCTCTTAATTATAGATAATAATACTTTTATATCTTAATACTTAATAAGATTATATATTATAATTATCTTTTAATATACGATATTATAACGTATAATCTATTTAATATAGTTATTATACTTATTCATTAGTTTATAATACTTTTTAAAGAATTTAATATATATCTTTTCTCTTATTTAAGTAATTAATTTATTAGATAAATTAAATAATTATATTATTTCGAGTAAGTAATTAATACTATAAAACTTTAAGAAGTTAAAATAATCTTTATTCATTATTTTATTTAAAAATTTATATATTTAAAAAACCTCTTTTAATAGATTAATTCGAATTAGGGCCGCGAGTAGATATCGAATAATATTATTATTATAAGAACGATATCTTATTAGTATAATAAGATTAAGAATAGCGCGATCTATATATAGTATATTTAAATTTAATTTAATTAAGATCGATATAAAGATAATTATTATTATTCTCTATAGAGTCTAACTATTCTCTTTTATTTACTATATCTTCTTATTTAAAAACTTAATATATCTTAAATTAATATAATTAAAGATTATTTAAAAGCGAGTATTAAAAAGCTTATTTATCTTATTCTCTATCTTCGTAGTCTTAATATATTTAATCTATTATTTAAGTAGATAATCTATAAATCTCTTAATTATTA